TTTAGGAGGAATCTCAGAGAAAATGAGTCTCTGGCAAAAGTTGGAATCTTTAAAAACCTTTCTTTATTCTATAAACAATCATAAAAAAAACTTGAATCGGGCCCATTTTTAACTACTTCACCAACCACCATTGTTGATTTTTATTTATTGGGATATTTTTCTTTAATGCAACTTCCATGGAGGCATGGATGGATCCTCTTGTTTGGTCTCTTCTTCTCTCTAACTCAATTTGCTTACCAAAAGACAAAACTCCCATAAATGTCCAAAACAGAAAGATTACAATTCAACTTTTCCTCCTGAAAGTACGATGTGAACAAGATAGGAAGCAAATTCATAACTCCATTCCAAAATCAAAGAACACTATTGTTACTTCAACACATGAATAAATCCAAAGAATCTTATCTTTAATGGTTACAATGCATCAACCATCTACCTCTACTTTAACATTTTTCCTTTTTTGTCTTTAAATGTTTAGGAGTAAAAAACATGAGAAACTATGGGGATTCTTCTCTTGGTGCTTTGTGCTTATGAATCAGTGTGGATCAGAGTCTAAGCAGAAGAACCAAGAGCAGACGTAACCAACACCATTAGGCTAGTTATACACATATACACATACTTTTTATCAGTACCTCACGCTCTCTTAGCGTCCCGTTTTTGGGCGTTTTATTGCATTTGAATTGAAAGGAGAGACACTACCGCTCGGACCTGGACTGTTTTCTCTCAAGTTTGAATTCAGCAACGCAAGCTCTCGTAGCTGCTGCCTCTTGATGTAATCCTGTGACTCATCCTGCAAAAAGAATACAAAGCATGTTATGTGGGAGACATCAAGTTGTCTAATAGAATAGAATTTATTAACGAGAGAAGTCTCTGACTCTCGACCAAACTTCAAAGCAATGTGGCCTCTCAAAAAGATAAATATAGAAGAAGTATGTTAAAAGTACACACCACAGGCTTGACCAACTCCTCGATAATTTCTTGGGCCTGACGCAGATTTATATCCACAATATCAGCAGGTAGATCAGCCTCAATGAGGATATGCAGCTGCTCATGGAGATGCTCATAGCCAGGCTTCCCTTTCAGTTTCTCTTCCTAGTG